CGGGGACAACCGACGGGAGGGGAGTGACGTGGGAGACACCAGACGGGGCAGGACGAGGCGGGAGAGGGGCAGGGGCTACCGGGGGAGAGGGAGCAAGGAAAAGGGGGGGGGCAACTGGGAGACCTCGGTGAGGGAAGCGCGGTAGAAGGAGACGGACTCATCAAAGGTGACGTCACGAGAGTGGAGGAAGCGGTGAGACGGCGGGTGGTAAAAAAGCCAGTCAGACGAAGTCAGGGGGGAAACCGAGGAAGACACCAGGGGATAGTGCGGGCAGTGAGCTTGTCCGTGCCAGAGGCACGAACGTGAGCAAGGCAGCCCCAGACGTGGAACACAGACGCGGTCACCGGGGGACCGGTCCAAAGGAGGGTCGGCGAAACCTGCGGCCGCTGGGGAGCGTGGCCACAGGTTAAGCTGGTGAGCCGCGTAGCGGAACAGCGAACGGCCCACAGAAAATGGGGGGCATCGGCATGGATCATGGAGGTACGGGCGACCTCCATGACCAAGCCGATGCCGGCGCTCAGCAACCCCATTCTGCTGTGGCGAGTCCGGCAACGTGTACGACTGGGTGATGCCCTCCGGCACGACAGAACTGTCCGAGCCCGACCAGAGGCGAACTCGCCGCCACGGTCGGAGTGGAGACACAACACGGGGAGACCCGGTGGAGACGCGCAGCCACAACCCACGGGAGAAGAACGTCGGGCACGTCGGCCTTCCGCTCCAGGGGAAACACCGTGGTGTAGCGCGTGTAGTCGTCGACAAGCACAAGGAAGTAGCGCTCACCGCGCGGTCCGGGGACTGGGGCAGGGCCCCAAACGTCCAAGTGCAGGGTCTGAAGGGGGGCAGTAGCAGGACGCAGCGAGGAGGAGTGAGGAGCACGGCGGAGCCGACCCTCGACGCAAGGCGTGCACGGTGGCGCAGTCGAGGGAGGAAGGGCAGGGAGCGACGCGGGAGACCTAAGACAAGACCGTGCTGGGACATGTGACGCAGACGCGGGAGAGCAGGGTGACCTAAGCGGTGGTGCCAGAGAAGGGAGGGGTGAGTGAGGGACCGACACGAGCAAGCTGCAGCGACCTGGGAGGACGCACCAACCGGGGGGGAAGCGGTGTGTAGGGTAAACAGACCGGACACCGGGTCCCGGGGGAACGTCGCAAGGGGGGAACCTGAGACAGCCTCAGAACAGACAGCGAACCGCTCGTGCCCGGGGAACGTGGTGGTGACGCCGAGGTCCTGGAGACAGCCGACACCAACCAGGTTCCTGGAGAACGAGGGAACGTGGAGGCCAGTAAGGGAGCCCGAGGGAACTGCCGGACAGGGAAGGGACGTAGAACTGCGCGCGACGACCGGACCCGCAGAGGGGTCAGCGAGAGAGACAACAGCAGGTGCAGCAAGCGGCGTGAGCGTGGAACGGTCGCGGAAGAAGCAGGCAGAAGCACCAGAGTCGAGAGTGAAGGACAGCGACGCAGTGGCGGGGGCCGGGGACGGAGGCGGTGCAGCGACTAGACTAGGCAACCTAGGCAGTCCTACGCCTGTCGCAGCAGGGGAAGCTAAGCTACACAAGGGTGAAACACCTAAACTAGAGTACACAGGGTAGTAAGATCCATCAACACTAGAAGCGTCAGCATACAAAGCATGCAAAGCAGCACCTATCTGATCCATGTCTAACTCAAAGATCAGCACGCCCTGGCGGAGCAGGCTGTGCCAGTCAGGGAGGTCCGGGCCGGGCCAAAGCGACGACGAAAAAGATCGTCGAGGCGGCGGAAACAGCGGGCGGTCGGGTGCGGGCGGCGGCACAGAGTGCCGCGGAGAGGCCCGGTCTGAAGTTGGTACTGGCAGGTCACAGCACTGGAGCCGCTGGTAGACGCCAAGCTGCGCGGGCCGCCACCACGGCCACCGCCTCCGGAGGTGCCGGGCCAACCAGGCGGGAGACGAGCCCACGGCTGCGGCGGGTGCTGCTGGGACGGCGGCTGCGGCTGGGGCTGGTCCTGCTGCTGCTGGGACTGCTGCTCCTGCCCACCGGTGGTAGTCCCCTCAGGCGGACTACCGTCACCACCACCACGACCACTACCTCCTGCGTCACCACCCCTACCTCCCTGGCGGCCACGGCCACCGCGACGCGAGCGCTGCTGCGGGTGGACAGCAGCAGCCGTCTCGGTAAGAGGGGTCGCCGTGGCGACCGCAGCCGAAACGTCAGTGAACGTGCACGGGGATGGGGCACAGCCGTGAAAGATAGAGACTGGCGGCGCACCGCTCGACTGAGCGATAGTGCGCTGGCGAGTCTCGATCTCAGTGAGGGTGTCGATAAAGGCGGTCAGGGTGAGGTCACCCGGGTGCTGGCTAAGAAAGTGGTCGCGAGCACTAGCGAGGCGGTCTGGCAGGCGCATAGCGATAAAATAGAGCGTCATGCAGAAAGGAGGGGGGAGCGCAGTGAGCTGGGCAGCAGTGCTGGCAGTGCGATAGCGAGTCTCTAGGGCACGCAAATGAGTGGCAAAATCTGCGACAGTAGGGAAGGCAGCCAGGTCTGGGAACAGCATCGGAAAGAGCAAGCGGCCAGCAGAAGCGGAGGCAGGGGTGGAATAGCGAGCAATAACGGCGTCTAAATAAGCTTTGGCCGTTTCAACAGTAGCAAAACGCGAGCGCTCAGACACAGGGAGGGCGTGACTAATAGCAACCTGAGCTACTGCATCGCGTGAGTCCCAGATCGCACAGGCCAGCGCAGCAGTAGAGAAAGCCTCACGGTCATCAGAGGAGGGGTCAGCAGGGAGGGGAGTAGGTGCAGGGGACGGGGGAGCAAGCCATCAGCATGGACAACCAGAGAGTGGCCATCCTGGCGCTGACCTGTAAGCTGGCGGCGAAGATCGGAGAGCCAGGCGGCGAAGTCAACCGCGTGGCCCTCAGCGTCCAGGCGGAGCACAAAGTCAGCCATCGTGCAGGGTCAGCGGCACAGCTCCTCAGCGACACAGCGGCACAGCAGCACAGCTCCTCAGCGGCACAGGAGCATAGCGGCGCGGGGACACGGCGGCAGCACTCTCCAGTAGGGCAGCAGCTAGGCGTCCCAGCGCAGGCAAGCAGAAGACACAGGGCCCGAGAGGACACGGCAGGCCGAGCAGGGGAGGCGGGCAGGTGCTCTGGGGCCGGGCTGGTGCTGGGAGGGGCCAGGCTGGTGCTGCTGGGGCCGGTCGGGCACGAGGAGGGGCCGGGCAGCGCTGAGGAGAGGCCGGGCGGCGCTAGGAAGGGGCCGGGCGGCACTAGGAGGAGGCCGGGCGGCACTAGGAGGAGGCCGAGTGGCACTAGGAGGAGGCCAGGCGGGCGAGCGCTAACAGCAGGCGCGACAGGGGCCAGCGGGCTCGACGGGGCCTAAGGGGCGCGACGGGGCCCAGCGGGCACGACGGGGCCCAGGGGGGGCGCGACGGGGCCGAGGAGGCGCGACGGGGACCAGCGGGCACGACGGGGCCCAGGGGGCCGCGACGGGGCCTAACGGGCGCGACGGGGCCCAGGGGGGGCGCGACGGGGCCTAGCAGGCGCGACGGGTCCTAGGAAGCGCGAAGGGGCCCAGCGGGCGCGACGGGGCCTAGGAGGGGCGCGACGGGGCCGAACGGGCGCGACGGGGCCCAGAGGGAGGGGACGCGACGGGGCTTAGGAGGCGCGACGATGCCTAGGAGGCACGACGGGGCTCAGCGGGCTCGACGGGGCCCATGGGGGCGCGACGGGGCCTAGGAGGCGCAACGGGGCCCAGCGGGGGCGCGTTAGGGCCTAGGGGTCGCGACGGGACCCAGCGGGCGCGACGGGGCCTAGGGGGAGCGCGACGGGGCCTAGGAGGCGCGACGGGGCCCAGCGGGCACGACGGGGCCCAGGGGGGGCGCGACGGGGCCTAACGAGCGCGACGGGGCCCAGGGGGGGCGCGACGGGGCCTAGGGGGCGCGACGGGGCCTAGGAGGCGCGACGGGCGGAAGCGGTAGGCGGGGGGATCCTAACCTAAGCGTGATACCATGTTAACGTAGAAATGAATGATTACTAGAGGTGGAAACCTAGAACAAATACTAATTGGTTGTACTCACTAGAAGCATACCTCAGTCTAGCCTATAACTTCTACATAGATAATATGTATAAGTTGACAAGAGGTTGATTGAAATGCACAACCCATTAATACAAGGCTCTTGGCAAGAACCAGCCCAAGGAAACTCGTCAAATAAATTACTAACTTCTATAGAATCAAATACTCCTAACACAAGCATTCCAGCCTCCTAAACACCTTGGATCATATACGGCGGTTGAGGAGCCTCAAAAGCCCTAAGCAGTGCGCGCCATAGGCTTTTGTGCCCCTGGGGTGCATATTGTACCACTTGGCTTGCTTGCGCATGGTGCATGCATTCCTTCACCACATGCCTCCCAAATACTGGTACCACCATAAGACCAGGTCACCGCGCTGATGGGTGGAGGGAAGCTCTTGGGGATGGCAGGGATGGCAGGACTGGTGGGGCTGGTGGGGCTGGTGGGGCTGGTGGGGCTGGTGGGGCTGGTGGGGCTGGTGGGGCTGGTGGGGCTTGTGGGGCTGGTGGGGCTGGTGGGGCTTGTGGGAGCATGCAGGAAAGGACACTTCAACCAAACAGGCACTTCTGCCACTTCTGCCCCTTCTGCCGCTGGTGCCGCGATGCTGCTGCTGCTGGTGCCGGAGCTGGTGCCGTTGCTGCTGGCGCCGAAGCTGGTGCCGTTGCTGGTGGTGTCGATGCTGCTGCTGCTGGTGCTGCCGCTGCTTGTTTTAGCAGCTAGAGCTCCCCTCAGATGCGTTGAAAAAGCTGCCATGAGGACTGGCAGGCACGCTTATCTTAAACTGCTGTTGGCTGGATCCTCAAGCAGCAGCCGCAGCAGCAGCAGCAGCAGCCGCAGCAGCAGCAGCAGCAGCGGCGTCAGCGTAGTGAGCGAAAACGGTTAATGAAACCCATCCCCATTCCCGTCCCCATCACCATCACCATCACCATCGCCATCACCCTCTGCCTGCCTCCACATCTTTAGCAGGCAGCAGCGGCACGTGCAGCTGCGGCGCTGGAGCCGACACTCTCACCATCAAACCACCCGCCGCCCCTCCTCCTCCTCCTCCCACTCCCAGCCCTGCCCCCAGCCCTATCCCCCCTGCCGATGCCCTGCCTGCCACGGGCACAAAAGAGCCCTGGGTTTCGTCCCACGCCCACGCGCGCATCACCCTGCCCCACGCCTTCTTCACAACGCCCATGCCATCGTCGCAGTACGCCACGCCGCCCGGTATGCACCCCGCCCTCACTGCCCCACCCTCCTTCAAACCACCACTGCTGCTGCTGAGGCTGCCGCTGCTGCTACTACCGGTGCTGAAAGCCCCGGATTTACCACTGCTGCTGCTGACGCCGCCGCACTGCGTGGCTTGGCCATATATGGCCATGCCGAGCACGGCGAGCGACATGCCGAGCATGCTGTGCAGCGACAGCGGCGAGCGGAAGAAGAGCACGCCGATGCCTATAACGAGGACGGTCTTCACGTGGCCCAGCACCTGGTAGGTCGTGGCTGAGAAGCGGCCGATGCAGAGGTACACGCTGAGGTTGCACACCACGGCGAGGAGACACGAGAGCAGGAGGAAGATCTGGGGGGGGGGAGACGAGGGACGAAGAGGATAAGGGATACTGACGGTTAGAGGATGGGAGGTGCAGCGGAAGCGAGCGGGGGGCGGGGGGGGAGAGGGGGCGTGCAACGGATGGACAGGCATGGAGGTGGGGGAAAGCGCGGAAGAGCGCGCGCGCGGGGCTTACCAGGGCGCCGGGGGAGAAGCGGAAGGAGAGGAGCGAGCGCGAGGTGAGGTAGAAGTCGAGGGGCGGACCGATGAGTAGTAAAAGGAAGGCCTGCAGCGGCGCCGTCTGACTCAGCAGGTCGAACGATGACGTGGCGTAGTGGACTTGCAGCCAGCCAATGAGCTGCGAGTAGTGGCAGGGGTAAGGGACAGGGGGGAGGGGGGGAGGGGAGGGGAGGAGTGGGGAGGGAAGAGAAAGTGAGAGAGAGACAGAGAGGACATGAGAGGGTGGAAAGGGACGCATAGACAGAAAGGGGACGATGAAGAAACGAAGGGACGTAATGAGAGCAAGCAGGCACACGATTAACCGCCCGCAATAAAGCAGCACCACACGCACACGCAAACCATGACGCTTCAAGCCCCACGCACCGCACGCACGCACCATCATATGCAGCGCGGAGCAGAGCACGGCGAGGGACGCGACGCAGAAGCCGACCACGTTCAGCGTGATCTCCGCGTTCGTGCACAGCCCAACGCCCACCATCACCACCACCATGGCCGCCCACACGCGGCTCGGAATCGCGCGGCTCCACGCCAGAGACTCGAAGACGCACACCAGCGGGATCACCGCGACTTTCGAGATCTGATAGAACCCCACGGAGTTAAGGAGCAGGCTGAAGTTAGTAGCGACGAGACTCGCGTTCCCCAACAACGCGAACCCTAGGAGCACCCACAGGGGTAGCACCCCTGTCGTCGGTCTCTTTCCTTCTTCTCCTCCGCCGCCGCCGCCGCCGCTGACAACGATGCTGCTGATGTTGCCGCTGCTGCTGCTGCTGCTGCTGTTTCGGCTGCTGTTTCCTGCTGCTAGAGCGGACGTGAGCAGGCCGACGATCGCGGTGACGGCGAAATGCAGGCCGGTTAACGTGGAGACTGCGAGAGGCAGGAAACCGGACAGGGGGAGAAAGGGAGAGAGCGGGAAGAATGATACACAGGCGGAGTAGTTCCTCTCTCTCTAGTCGTTTCCTCTCCAACCGTTTCCTTTCCCGTCGCTTTCTGCCTCACTTGACGGGAGGATTCGCGATATCTTTCCCGTTGGACTCGACAGGGCCGCTGCTGACTAGGAAAAGATTCGGATGGAACTTATTGGCGCGCTTACCGAAGGTGAAGTCGTATGCGGACATGAGCTGCTTGTTAACCATAATGATGCCCACTGCACCGAGGATATTCATCGCCCATATGCCAGCCGACACCGTGTGCGACGTCCGCGACGACGACAAGGACATGGGCGACGGCGGCGGCGACGACGGCGACAATGGCGACGGCGGAGAGTTCTTGCGATCCATGGTTCTGATCGTCGTGAAACCGGATGGGAACGCTCTCTAGATATGGCCTTTAGTTCGTCGTTATTAGTGTTGAGATCCGCTGCTCGTTGTCTGTGCGCCTAACAGCCGTATGATGCGTGTGCGTCGGTACCCGTACGCGAGAGCGTTATGCGCCGAGGGCAATGCGGCGAGGTAAGCAGCAACGGAGGAGCAACTATACTACCAAAGCACGAGGCCGCTGCGACCAATCGAAGTACTACTAAGCCGCTGTCGAGGCGCTAAGGAGGTGCTACTCGCCAAGTCGCATTGGCTGTTCTAAACTTCTAGAGAGTACTACGAAGTACGACGCCAATCGAAGTACGACGCCAGACGCGCCTCTCCCAATCGCCTGTCAGGGCTCGTCCGCTACCAAGGATCTTTGTGCGGCAAAGCCACGCAAACAAGCAGCACTACTGAGACACGTACCCCGACAAGCAGAGGGCTTTCAATGACTAAAAGCGGTGTTCGTGAACGAGAGAGGCTACGCGAGCCGTTTACCCCGTGGCACTCAACGATCGACCTTCCGTGGCAATCCGCCTTAGGCCCTAGGATACTAGAATGAGGGCGATCCTATGCCCCAAGTGTTCGAGACTGGTTAGAAATTTTGAAATCGATCCTCCAGTGTTATAATGAGTTTATGAGACTGTCCTTAGGCTAGTTAGACTGGGACGCGCGAAGTTAAGTGTGGACCGCGCCTGCTTGTGCTGCCACCGTCTCGCAGCGAAGCGCTGCTTCTCTGGCAGCTGCAGCAGTACGTGGTGGTCGTGGTGAGTGAGTGAAAGTGGTGCTTTCCTCGTTCGCAAAGATGTGTCCAGTACAGTTCAGTACAGTACAGTATTTGGATTGCGGACGCGCGGAGCAGCACCGCAAGGCGGAAGGTGATGGGGCGTGCGGGGTGGGGGGGAGTGGGGAAGTTCTGTGCATCAGAGAGATTGTGAAAGGATGGATGGGGGTGAAGTACCGTGCCGCGATGTGAACTGACGTGGGAGGGAGGGGTAAAGTGGAAGGCAAGGCAAGGCGAAATACAGATGTGACGTGATGCAGAAGTGCGGTTGAGCAGGGGGATTGGGGAGGGATGGGAGGGGGGGTTGCGGGGGGAGAGCGCAGAGCACAAACGCGCCCCCGAGAACACCACCACCGAGAGCTAGGCTACGAGACAGCCAGAGTTGTGAGGTACAGTAAACCTACTGTACCGTCAACACCTTGGCACTGCTGCCTACCGGGCGACACGCACAACGGCTCACACACACCACCACCGCTACCTCGGCCACCGACCTGGGGAAATTGCGCGGCTCATCGAAGCTGAGTGTTGTTGAGGTGTCATCGAGAAACTTGGCATGCACGAGTGCCTACTTTCGTGGCTTCCGCTGATGGGAAAAATAGATATTTTGCTTTCTGTCCAGAAACTGCCCGAATGACCCAGGTACAGGTTTCCAAACGGAAATACGTCAGGGCAAATCCATTTATGAACTGATCAAGGTTGCATTACTAGCGTTTATAAAGGTTGTCGTCGTACTTCAACTGCTAGAAAAACCACCCGATTTGCCCGAGAATGGAGTCAACTGCTCAACTTCTCCTGTCATATTCCTCTCCAATCACAGTCGTATTTTTCGAATCGCAGCAGCTCAAGTGCTCAGAACGTATTGACTAATGACGGCCAGACAAAACCTTGACTGGGACGAGGAATTTCAGCATTCCTAACCCCAGGAGACTTCCTGCGTCGTGTCATCCGCGGACATGAGATGCTGGAAGACACTGGTGTAAGGAATTTTGTACTGCAATCGCGTACACCCGAACTCTCGGAACACCAGGCTCGGTCCGTTTCCGACGCGAACCCGAGGCACGCCCGCGCCGCCTACGAACCTTTCGACCGTGCCTGTACCCAACCTAGCCCTCCGGCTTCGTCGCCTAGCTAGAGCTTTCGCTATATAATGCTAGGCTCGCATTCTTGTACTCGTCATTATTATTCCGCGCACTCTCAGTTATTATTCATAACATCTGGTATCAGAGCTACTTTCCTGGTTCACCCCGCTTTCTCAGGGTAGTTTATTTCCAAGGCGTGGTTAACCCTGCGGGGCTGCAAAGCGGTTGTCCGTGAGCTAGAGTTATTAGCTCACACAACTACGATAGCGTTTGCGCCCCCTACGGTTTCTTACCACGGCCTTTCCCCTGCCCGAAAGGCGAAGCATTCGCATCATGTCCCAGGCCCAGCTAGACGAGGTCATGGCTCAGATGCAGGCAATGCAAGCCCAGATGGCGAGTTTGAACAGTGAAGTCGTGAGACTTCGAACGGAGAACACCGAGCTTCGCCAGACGCGTGGTGAAGCGCGTCAGGAGTTGCCTGGAGTCGCCGAAGACGAGGTCAAGCAAGGTGCCGACGACGCAGCGAGCGAAATCGTCCTTGACGAGCTCGCACGGGAGTTGGAGTAGGACGACGTGCGTACTGTGACCGTAACGAAGATTAAACTCAAGCCAGCAACACCGCCCCCGTTCAACCCTTCGGATAAGGCAACGACGGTGCAAGGGTGGCTGTTCAGCATGGAGCTATTCTTCACGGCGGCAAGTGTGCATACGGATGACGCGCACATTAATTATGCCGTGTCGCTGCTCCGAGGACCGGCGTTGGATTGGTGGCGACGACAGTTGGCGATTGGGACTCCGGCAGGAGTGAAGCAGGCGAAGGACGGGACTTTGGACTCTTCAAACCAACAGGCAGAAACAATATTCGATACGACCACGATTTGCACGTGGAAACAGTGGAGCACAGCTTTGCGTGCTCGTTTTGAGCATTCATCCGCCTCAGACGACGCTCGCTTGAAGCAGCGCAACTGGCGGCAGGTGACTACTGTTTAAGATTACACTGCGTCGTTCTCGGCACTTGCGGACCAAGTCGACGACCTCAGCGAAGCGGAAAGGCGGGACAAATACGTTAGCGGACTGCATTTCGATATTCAATACGAGTTGCAGCGGTCCCGTCCCAAGGCGTTCGATGAAGCTGTCCAGCTGGCGTCAGCAGCCGATGCAGTGCAGCAGTGGGCGAGAAAGAACAATAGGAATGTTGGTCGTTTTCGTGGACAGTCTCCCCGCCCCACAATCAATGGCGTGTCAGCGCCCGATGAAATATTTCACGGGCTATGCTTTCGATGGGACAAGCCAGGTCACCGAGCTAAGTACTGCCCGACGGCGCCCAAGAAGACGAAGAACGACAAGGAGAAGCCGGGAAAGGGGAAAAGTCAGTAGCAGACGGGCCCCCTACTGACGAGGCTTTGTCGCCCAAACTTCAACGTTCCCACCAAGTTGTGGTACCGATACACGCTATCGACCGCACTCGGACGAATAACGGGAGCGAACCTGAAGATCACCCTGTGCTGGTCGAAGGCAAGGTTAACGACAAAAAAATAAATTTATTTGTGGATGGCGGAGCTAGTCACAGTCTCATATACGTCACAACAGCGAAGCAGTTGAAGCTGACGTTGGAAAAATGTCTTCCCGAAATTGACGCGCGACTGGTGGACGGAACTCCACTTGCAATTCGAGAACGAGCGCGCATGGTGCGGATGAAGTGTGGCGACGACTTTGGATTCAGCATGCCCATGCTAGCAACGACGCTGGACGGCTGCGACATTCTGCTTGGGCGTGATTGGCTGCGAAAATACAATCCGAGGGTCGACTGGACAACTGGCGAATGCAGCGTACACTGTGCGAACGGGTGGCGCGTACTTCCGAGCTGGCGTGGGAGGGATCCGATGTCGACACGTGTCAACGCCATCACCCTCCAGCGAGAAGTTAAAAAAGGAGCTGATCTGTACGCCGTCCACCTGGCCGAATCGACGGTCGACGACACGCCAAAGGACATTGACACACTTTGTGCCAATGTCCCTGCTGAGCTCACCGTGCTGATTCGACAGTACCCGGATATTTTTCCGGACGATCTGCCAGCAGGACTGCCACCCGAGAGCCCCCAGGACCACAAAATTGACCTGGAACCCGGTGCGCAGCCTACAGTCAGGACACAGTGGCGGCTGACTCAGCCCGAGCTCACGGAGTTGCGGAGCCAGCTGGACTACCTCTTGGAGAAGGGGTTCATTCGGCCCAGCACGTCCCCGTTCGTAGCACCAATCCTGTTCACGCCCAAAAAAGACGGCGGTCTGCGAATGTGCATCGACTACAGGGCGCTGAATCGGCGAACAATCCCGCTACCCAATCCCACGCGCGAACGATCTTCTCGATCAACTTTGCGGAGCTCGCTTCTTCTCGAAAATCGACTTGCGCGGCGGTTACCATCAGTTCCGAGTCTTCGCTGACGACTGCCACAAGACGGCGTTTCGAACCCGCTATGGCAACTACGAGTACACAGTGATGCCGTTTGGCCTCACGAACGCGCTCTCCACTTTCCAACTCACCATGAATGGCGTATTCCGAGATCTACTCGACAAGTGTGTCATCGTCTACCTTGATGACATTCTGATCTACAGCAAGACACAGGAACATCACCTCAAGGACCTGGAGCAAGTTTTCCAGCGGCTGCAAGAACACCGACTCATCACGAAGGGTTCTAAGTGCGAGTTCCTAAAATCCGAACTGGAATTTTTGGGACATGTCGTGGGAGCGGATGGCATAAAAATCGACCTGAAGAAAATCACAACTATTCGCGACTGGAAGCCGCCGACGAATTTACAGGAGTTGCAGAGTTTTCTGGGGTTCGTTAATTACGTCTGGCGGTTTATCCCCAATATGGCAGGGATAACCGGACCATTAACTGACCTGCTGCGGAAGGGAACTTTGTTTCAGTGGGGGGAGAGATAGCAGGCTGCTTTCGATGAACTGCGAAATTTTTTGACGTCGCCCCCGGTCCTCCGAATCGCCGACCCATCTCGACCGTTCGAAGTCCCGACGAACGCTAGCGATTTCGCCATCAGAGCGATACTGTTAAAAGATTTTAGCGAAGGACTCTAACCAATCGCGTACGAGTCTAGGAAGTTGCAGGCAGCCGAGCGCAACTATCCCGTCCACGACAAAGAAATGCTCGCCATCGTGCACGCATTCAAGGTGTGGCGATGCTACCTGACGGGAGCCGATGTGACAGTACGGACAGACCATAAATCTCTACAATACCTCCGCGCGTAGCCGAACCTCAATCCACGACAGATTCGCTGGCTGGACTTCCTCGAAAGCAACTTCCACTACACAATCACGTACAAACGTGGGGCGAATAACATCGCCGATGCACTGACAAGACCATCCGCCCACCTCGCCTCCATCATCGTCGCAAAATCCAATCCGCTGCTCACTGGCCTATTTACCCACGGCTACACCACAGATCCCTTTTTCACCCGCAACCGCCATCAGCAAGCCACCACAGCCAAAGGACCCTACTTCCTAAAAGCTGGTACTGACCGTATCTGGGTCCCCGCCTACTGACTCCTCCGCAAATTACTTATTCAAGAAGTCCATGATTCCAACCTCTCCGGTCATTTCGGGGTTGACAAAACCCAGAAGTTACTTTACCGTTTTTATTATTGGCCTGATTCGGCGTCTGATGTGCAGAGATTTGTATCCGCATGCCCGATCTGCCAACGCATGAAGTCTTCTCGACAGCGGCCAGCTGGACTGCTGCAACCGCTCGATCCACCCCAACGGCCGTGGCAACACGTTGGGCTGGACTTCGTCACAGGACTACCGGCTACCGCCATGGGCAACGACGCCGTCCTCGTCGTCGTCGATCGTCTGACGAAGATGGCACATTTTGCCCTATGTCGCACAACAATTACT